CAAATATAATATTTAATATGAAAAATATTAAATATTAACTAAATATTATTAACTGAGTATTAAGCATTGATAATAATAAATAAGTGAAAGAAATAAATATTGTATAAATATATTAAAATTATTGAAATTAAAATTGCAATAATTATATTTTTTTATTTATATAAGAATTATAAATTACTTTTTATTTAATATAATAGTTTTTTATTTTATATATTGAAATAAAATAACTTTCTTAAATTATAATCTAGTAATAATAATCTAGTAATAAATATATAATTTGTATATTTTATTATTCATAAATATGCGTTTCGCAATCAATAATTGCGATAAGATCAATTTATATAGTACAATAATATATATTCAGCATTAAAAAAAAAACAAAAATTATGAAATTAATTTTTCAAAAAATTATAATAATTTATAATAATAATTTAATTTTTGTAAGTACGACTATGCTGATTTCCATATGCATATTGCTAAATTTCCAGCACAGTACATATATAATAGATGTTTAAGTTGATAAGTTATTTCAAATCCATAGCCTTCACCAACAACTGTATGCCATGACGCACCGAATTTTTTATCCATTGTTTCCTTGATCATTCGTGAAACACTTTCATAATTATCCGCATATTTTTCCGCCGCAGTAACGCATAATTCCATAGCTTCTTGTTTCATTTCATCTGACATATCACATTTCTAAAATATACATATTAAATATATAATATCATCATAAAATAAATAATATAATAATTTTAAAAAGTATTTATTATTATTAATATTAATATGATAAATTTTATTCAAATAATATAACATAAATAAAATTTTAATTATATTATATGTTGTCCCAATATATAATTTAATTATATATTGTCCTTTTAAATATTTTTTTATAAATCAAATTGTTTAAATTTACATTTAAATGACAATATATAGATATAACTTTAAAATGATCATAATGATAAAAAATTATGATATTAAAAATGATTATTTGAAATTTAATAAAATTAAATTATATAAATACCATTTTTCATATAATGACTTTTTCTATTGATTAAATACTAATTAAAGAAACCAAACTTATTTTTTTTCCAATATATTTAATATATTTTATATATATAAATTATATTTCACTTACTCTACAAAGAGGATACGTATGTAATATTTTAATGACATCATCTTTTTTTACTTCAGTCATTTCAAAATAAAAATTTCATAAATATCGTATCAAATATTATTCTTCTTTAAAAGACACTGAGGATATTGCCATCTTACAGGCGCATACTTACCCCCTAAACCAACATAGATAACTTGCGTCTGTTATATGGTGAGAAAATCATGGTTAAGTACATAAAGTCCGTACATTAAATCTGATAAATTTAGAATTTTTATAAGCTTAAATATATATTCAGATGTACTTGAATTAGTACAAAATAAAATATTTTTTAAATATTTTTTTTTAAATTTTATAAATTTTAATTTATTAAATTAATATGAATGTTTAAATAAGACTTTTGAATAAAAATTCATGTAAAAATTAAATACATAATTATTTCTAATAGTATATAATTATTTTAATGAAATTGTAGTATTTTTATATACATTTAATATTTATTTTCTACTTTTAATTATTTTTTCGAATTTATTTTAAAAATTTTGCTCAGATTTTAGCTTATATTTATGCTTATAATATATTAATATAATAAAGAAGTATGCGTATAATTATTTTTATGTAACATTATTTTTATATTTTTATGTTTTATATTATTATTTTTATATAATATTTAAAGTCACTATATTTAATAATATTTTACTTATTAAAATATAAAACTTTATTTTTTATGCATATATATTACAAATAAATTAGTGTTTTTTTCAAAAATTCAGTGGATCAATACTGATTTAACTTAATACTCATTGAAACTTTTATTTTAATATTAAATGATTTAAATTTATAAATTTCTGTAATCATTGAAAATAAGGTTATATTTAAAATTAGATGGATTGATTATTAAATTAAAAGGATTTAATATTTAAAACACAAATAGAATTAGTGTTTATCATATTGTTATTATATTCATTATATAATATAATAATATAAATAATATAATAAATAATAAATTATATAATTATTAATATATCAAAAACATTTTAAATTTACTTATTTATTAAATAAGAATATTTACATGCAATTTTACTTTATCTAAAACAATTATGTATTTTATTTTAATTATTTTAAAGAATGTATTTGAGGTACTATTTAATTATAGAAGTTAAACTACTAACTATTTAATTATATTATTTAATTTTATAATAATTCAAGTGCAAATATTTTTTTCAGATAAAATGGCATCACGATTTAGTGGAGCATTACAAATTACAAATTTGGATGATTTCATTACTCCTTCTCAAGTATTTTATCATTTTATCATTTTAGTCTCAATAATTAGCAATAATTTTTACGAAATTTTCTTTGTAGGAATGTATAAAACCTATAGAAATTCAAGCATTAAAGAGTAAAACTGGGGCAAAAATAAAAATTAAAGAAGATGGAACACCTATAGCATTAAATGAAGTATATTAATTATATATATTTAAATAAATTTAATTAAAATTACAAAATTTTTTAAATTAAATTTAAATTTAAGATTATAATTTATTTTATAATTCATATGTTTAGACTGGACAATTTAAAAAATTAGAAAAAGTTGAAATTACACTTGCTGATTGTTTAGCTTGTAGTGGTTGTATAACATCTGCAGAAAGTATATTAGTTACACAGCAAAGTCAAGAAGAATTAATGCGAGTATTTAAAGAAAAAACCTCTCAATATCAGGTAATGATTATTAAAATAACACAGACTACTATAAACTAATTAAATATCAAAAATCTATATTTTTTAATATATATTTTATAGAGTAGAGATGGTATAAGCTCAACATTTATTGTAGTTAGTCTTTCGGTGCAAGCAGTATTATCCATAGCAGAACATTATAATCTTAATTCAGAACAAGCACTAAATAAACTTGCAGGATATTTTTATCAGTTAGGAACAGATATAGTTTTAGATATGACTGTAGCTGATGATTTTGCTCTCTTAGAATCTGCTAAAGAATTTATACAACGTTACAGAGCAAATAAAGATGGTGCAAAAAATCAATTGCCTATGTTATCTTCTTCCTGTCCAGGTAACTAATAATATAATATGTTTTCATAAATAATTCTTTTCAATATATAAAGTACCCAAATATAATTTTTAAATTAATATAAATAATTCAATATTTTTTCTTGTATAGATTGAAAACTACATAAATTAATCTATTTAAAACTATATTATTTTTAAAAAAAATATAACTACAGTGATTGGTTTTTTATATAAATAAAAAATTCTTTTTTCTAATTTCTTTTATCTAATTAATTCTATTAATTAATATATCATTTCATTTCTATAATATCTTTTATATAATATCTTTCATATAATATAAGACTATACATTTATTCAAAATACAAAAATTTTTATTACTTTTTATAATTTTAAATTAAAGGTTATTCTTATTCTTGTTATTCTCATGTATTTTTTTTTTATATAAAAATGCAAAAAATTTCCAAAATATGCATTAAAAATTAATTTTGTTTCATGATATTTTTATCTATTTTTATTATTTTGAAAATATAACTTATCATATTTGCATAGAAAATTCTGGATAATAAAATAATCATTTAAAAAATCTAACATTATTTATTAGCTTCAATTTATAGTAGAAGATAAGTAAAAATTTTTATTACATTATTTTATTAAATCCAAAAATTTTGATTTTGAATAAAAATTTATTATAAATAGAACATAATGATTTATATAAAGATATATATATATATATATCTTTTGTTAGAAAAAAAATTGCAGAAAATTTTTTTAAGAGGCTTTCTTAATTTAAAGTCAAAATATTTTGTCAAATTTTTAATATAATTTTACAGAAATTTTTTCTATAATAAAATGATAAAGCAGTAAATTCTGAATATTTAACATTTTACTCTATCTCATACTATTACAAAATTTTATTAAATTATATTAAAAAATTATATTAAAAAAACAAGAAATGTATTGAATTTTTATTTAATTTTCTTAAAATGATATTTGTAAAAGTTATTTCATATATAATTATATTTTATATACTTACATTAAAAATGAAAAATTTATAAAAAAATTAAAAAATTAAAACTAAAATTTTTATTTATATTTAATCAAATTTAAAGGAAGTTAAATTAATACTCAAAGTTTTAGCATTTTAAAATTTTATATTTAATAGTATAATTTAATAATACAAGATAAAGCAAAATTTTGTTTTATATTTAAAATTTAATACTGAAACTTTGAAGATTGATTTCAGTCTTTTAAAGAGATTTTCTCTTGATAAGATACATTTTTTAGATTAGATAAATTTACTTAAAAAATAATATAAAAAAAGTACTTTTCTTCTTCATTCTATGTTTTTAAATATAATGCTTTTAAATATAGGTTGGGTATGCTATGCTGAAAAAACACATGGTAATTTTATACTTCCATATATAAGTGTTACAAAATCTCCTCAACAAATTATGGGATCATTAGTTAAATATCATTTAGCTGAAATTATGGATCTTTCACCAGAACAAATTTATCACATAACTGTTATGCCTTGTTATGATAAAAAATTGGAAGCATCCAGAGAAGATTTTTATAATCATGAAATAAAATCTAGAGATGTAGATTGTGTTATAACTCCAAGTAAGTATTATCAATTTCAAAACTTAAAAAAAAATATTCATTTATATTTATTTTTCTTTAATTGAAACAAAAATAATTAAATTTATTTTTTTTTTAGTTGAAATAGAGCAAATGTTTAATGAAAATAATGTAATATTAAATGAAATAAAAATTGAAAAAAAAATTCAAAGAATATTTGAATCAGAAATGAAATATTTAAAAAACGATTTATATGGTCATAGTGGTTCAGGATCCGGAGGTTATGCCGAATTTATTCTTCGTTATGCTGCAAAATATCTATTCAATGAAACAGACATAATAATTGAATTTAAAAGTCTTAGAAATCCTGATTTTCAAGAAGCAGTCTTTCAAAAAGATGGTCACACACTCTTAACATTTGCAATTGTTAATGGATTTAGAAATATACAAAATCTTGTACAAAAATTGAAGCGTGGAAAATGTGTATATGATTATGTTGAAGTTATGGCATGTCCATGTGGTAAGTTTTGTTTAAAGTATATAATATAATATTATATTATAATAATAAATTTTTATTCAAATTATACATAAATTGCTAGGATGTCTTAATGGAGGAGCACAAATTAGACCTTTAAATAATGTTCAATCACGCGAACTGGCATTAAAATTAGAATCTATGTATCGAGAACTTCCTCAAAGTAATCCTGAACAAAATCTAATAGTGAAAAATTTATACAAAAATTGGTTAGGAGGAGAATGTACAGCCAAAGCTTTAGCATATTTCCATACTCAATATCATGAAATAAAGAAAATAGATACTGCTCTTGCTATAAAATGGTAATTTATGGTAAATATATATTATTATTAGTTTAAATTAGAATTTTTAAATACAATTAATATCAAATTAATATATTATTTAAAACATATAGTTTTGTGATTAGATGTATATTTATTATATTACTATTATTCATATATTAAAAAAATTTGTTGGATATATTCATTAAAGACATATAAAAGATAAATTTTTAATAAATATTTATATCTTTTATAAAAAAAATATTTTAATAATATAAATTATGTAAATATAAATTTTATTATATAGAGTGTCTCATTTA